AAAAATCGTGACATAATCGCGTCACGATCGTGATCAAATCGTAACGTGTTACACGTGACGTGTAAAATTTTTTGGAATAACAAAACACGAAATGACCGTTAACGAAAATAAATTCAAGTGCAACATTATTCGTTGATGACATTGAACAATAACAACATTCGAACACACTTGGATTCGGGGGGAGGGGGGGGGAAAAAGGCGTGACTTTCGTGTCACGGAAATGAAGAATTAAACCAAAAAAAAAAAAAAAATTGTGATTGTTTGTACTTCCTTCCTAAAACAATAAAAAAATTTTCATTTTAAATATAAAAAAAAATAAAATCGATAACCTCATCTTCTTCTTCTTCTTCTTTCACAAGTTTTTTTTTTTTTTGGGCGTTAAAGATGGCGGTGGTGTTGGTGGTAAAATTCAAAAACGATCGAAAATAAAAGCTTCAGGTAGAGAGAGAGAGAGAGAGAGAGAGAGACAGGTGAAAATATTTTTCTATAAGTTGGTGGAGGTATACTAAAAAATATTCAGTTGAATTTCTTTGTTTGAAAACAATCATTCCTCTTGGATACCTGATGAAAATCTTCATTTTTAGGTTTTGTTTTATTATCCGTCGTCACGGTCGTGAAATAAAATCAAATTTTTTACTCTTCTCAGACAAAAAAGTTCGTTAAAAAAAAAAAAAAGAAACTTACCTCGTAATAATAGAGAGGAATATTGTGCGTCACAACTTCGGATATGACATAAGCTATACAGATAACTACGAGAAGTTTTGCGTATATAAAACTCATTATTATGAAAAGTGAAGTCCTGAAAAAGACAAAAAAAAAACAGGATGAATTAGTTTTTTCCCTTTTTTACTACATCGCACGCCACTCGTCCTTATCATCTCTTAATTTAACCTAGTTATTAAGCTGGAAAAAAAATAATAATAATAAATGGTACGGTTGGATGCTGCATGGACCATTTCCTAACCGAGATTTTTCGTATTAGACCCTTTAGCTAAAAGCTACCTTTTGGGTTCTTCCTTGCTGTTGTTGCACTTCCCTTGTTTCTTATTTTTTTCCATTTCCATTTCTTTGTTTGTCGTATTATTTTGTTCTGGAGTGGCATCGCTTTTACCATGTTGCCTAAGCGACACGGGGAGCGTTGCCATATTGTCGATTGATTCAACGGATTCAACTGTTGCTACTTTAACTTCTCCCGGCATTTTATTTATTTATAACGTTTTTTTCCCTTTCTTTCTTTTTATTTTCTTTCAAGTTAGTTTATTTATTGTTTATTCCATTTGTTTTTCTCATCTCGATTATCTATTTCACAACAACCACAACAACAACAAACAAGAAACATTTTAAAATTTATTAATTAATACAACCAAAAAAAATAAAAAAAAAACTCGTTGTGTCTTAGGTGTTAATAATGAGATTTAAACTCGAAGAAATTTTTTTTTAATATAATTTTTTATACTTTTGACCCTACATAAATACATAGATACATAAATAAATAAGTAAATAAATAAATAAATTTAAATTATTATTTTATGTACATAACCGACGATTTAAACAAGTTTTTTCCAATTGAAAAATTAGTATTAAAAAAAAAAAAGGTCAAAGTTCTCTTCGAATTAAAAGAAAAAAAAAAATTAATAATAATAATAATAATTAAACTTTCACTTCCATGGTAAAAGTTATTATGTACCTCACCCCCTCACCCCCTTCCCCCCCCCAAAAAAAAAATCAATAACTGATACTAAATAATAATTTTTTTTTTTTTTTAAATAAATTTTTAACAACGAGAAAATTATTCGTTTTTGGTTGGATCCCCACCGTATTCTGTGACGTATACGAATAGAGTAAATAAACAAGAGCCTGAACGTAATAATAATAATAATAATAATGATGATGATGATAACGAAGAAACGCAAATTTATCGATTTAAATTAAATCTCTCTTTTTATTTGTTTAATAGACCAATCAACCGTGTTAGGAAAAACTCGTCAAAGGAAATTTTGATTTCAATATAAAAAGGCAAAAAAAGGGGGGAGGGGGAGGGAAATTTTTTTTTTTTTCCTTGGGAGGCAATCGGAACTGGAGAAAAACTGGGAGGAAAAAAAACCGGCGAAAATTTTAATTTCCCCCCTTTCCCTACCCCATTCTTATATAATTACGATTTATATAATTTTTTTTCTCAAGTTAAATTAATCAAACAAACAAACAAACAACAAACGTCGATTTTCAAACAACAAACACAAAGGAAAACACAATAACCGATAATTAAATAAAAAAAATAAACCTTAAAACCTTAAAACCTTTCCGAATAAAAAAACTGTGTGTACGAGTGAGGAAAAACTGGATACGCCTCGGAAAATTTTTCCTTTTTTCCTTTTTTTACGATTTTCCGTTATTGTATCGCACTTTTTTCTTTCATTTTTCCACCCCCGCTATTTAACTCATTCGATTATTATTATTATTTTCAAACGCACTTAACAAATTCATTTAAACACTTTTTAAATTTCGAAAACATTTTTCCCACTTGCACAAATTTATTAATAATAATAATAATAATAAAATGTATTTAAATAAAATTCGAAATATTATTGGGAGGTGGCTGACTAAGTACCCGCGCGGCACTGTCGACTTTTACGAATACATATATATATATTTCCATCTTTGTTCGTTTCTCTCTCTCTCTCTCTCTCTTTCATCAGATCCGCCGAATCCATCCCTTACGGAGAGATGCTGAAAGTTTTTTTTTTTTTTTTTTTGTATAATAAAAACATGTGGGAGAATTTTCAGAAATTCAATCTTTTCCCTAATTTTATTAATTGATGATATATACTACACCCTCTTATTTGAAAATTTAAATTTTAAAACTCTTAAATTGACCTTTTATGACCTTTTTATTTATTTATTTACGTCTGACGTTCGAATTATTTTCAAATGAAAAACATTTCGATCGAATCAAAAATCAAATTTTAAAATAAATTTCCCCTTCCCCCCGCCCCCAACCAAGACCAAACGAGACCGGAAGTTAAAATTCAGTCTCCGTTAAATTCATTTTATAAACAATTCATTATTATTATTATTATTATTATTATTATTACTATTACTATTATTTTATTTAAATAATTATTTTTATTAATTTATAAAAAAAATAAAAACGAACAAAAGAGAGAGAGAGAGAGAAAGCGAAGGAGGGAAAAAGGAAAAATTTAGCGAAAACTAAAAGACTAGACTGCAAGGAACCAATAGAAAAGATCCAGAGGTTGGTCACGTGTTTGAAGGGATTCTGTGTGTTTCCCTGGAACGGATACGCGGAAGAATATCCAGAGTTAAAAATAGAGAGAACAATGACCCCTTTTTCGTTTTAATTTTTTTTTTTACAGGCACAGGTTTTTCGAACGTGAAAAAATTTTCGTACAAAAAAAAAAAAAATTACACGTAATCCCTTTTTTTTGGGGGGGGGGATATCCTCAATCGATGATGAAAAACATAAAAAATCCCGGAAAAAAAAATTTTTTAATTTTTCCAAAGGAAAAAAAAAAAAAAAACAATTTCACACGGTTAATTGCCCCGCATCATTCCGCCCTTTTATCAATCAAACGAACAGGTGCACACGCACTCACGCACCCATACAAATCAATCACCCCAGTAAATTGTTATTTATTAACAAGCAGAAGAAGAAATAAAGGGGAAGAAAAAACCACCACCACACGATAAATTAAATAAAATTAAAAATACAAATGTCAAATTACTCCCTTCCCTTACTCCCCCTCATTTTTTCTTTTTTTTTTTAAAAAGGGGGGCCGTACGAGTATTTAAATGTGAATAAATTTGATATTTTCGACAATTGTCTTTATCGAATTATTGACTCCCTTTACCCACAAATAATTTTTAAAAAATTTTTACTGGTAAAAAAAACCCCACTTCCTGGAAAACAAAACTACCCTTTCTTCCACCCTTCCACCCTTCCCACCCTATTACCCCTAAATCTAAGGTAATGCAATTTCTAACACGATTCGAATAATGATAATAAATTACATCGTTTACAAACGGACTTTAAATATTATTTCTTAACAAACATTTTTAATTCCATTTTACGATTTCATTCAAAATAATAATAATAATAATAATAATAATAATAATAATAATAATAATAATAATAATAATAATGAGAATAATAATAATAAATTTTAATCAAGTTTTCTTAAATGGCCTCAGCGTGGCAGCAGCAGCATTTTCGAATATCGGAATTCGATTTTTTAAAAACTTTTTCGTTTGCTTGTTTTTTTTTTTTTTTTTTTTTTTTTTTTGGGGGGGGGGTCTTTTTTTATTGCTGTTGCAATATGGACGACGACAAAAATAATATTCATCAGTTAAATTTTTCCCCCGTTTGTCGAAATCAAATAATAATAATAATAATAATTCGAATTCAAATATACATTGTCCGTTTGTTTGTCAGTAAAAAAAAAAAAAAATTGTTTTGTTTTGTTTTGTTTTGTTTGTCGTTTCGTCGTTTTCATTTATCAATTCCCTATTTCCAACAAAAATAAAAAAAAAAAAAAATTTGAATTTCGTCAGTTTTTATTATTGAAAAAATGCGTACAAAAAAAAAAAACCATAGAGAAAAACAAAAAACAAAAAATAAAAATAAAAATGGCGTACGACGAATCGTTTAAAATGCGCATGACGAGGTTATTGACTTTTGTCCCGTTTGTTAAGGGTATCATTAAAAAAAAAAAAAAAAAAAAATTTTTTTTTTTTCGTGCCGATATTTTTCACGGAAAAAATATAAAAAAAAAATTAAGGGAAGCGGGAGGGAGGGGAGGAGGGTAACAAACAAAAAAAAATTAAATAAATAAATGCAACAATTTAAAAAATGGACACTCTTTCCCTTCCTATTATTGGGTCAACGCAGCAATAATAATAATAATAATTTAACCGTTTTAATAATTTCTTTATAATGAAATCTTATTGTTTTTTTAATCTTTTCAAACGAATCCTGCCCCCCACCCACCCTCCCCCCTTCGTAATTGAGTCAAACGAATATTCAAATTTGAATGTTTTCACTTTTCCTTATGTTAAAAGTCGTGGAATTAGAAATTAAAAAAAAAAAAAAACAAAAAAAGTCAAAAATTTCTTTTTTTTTTATGTATCTGTCGAATCTATCTGACGAAACGTCTCGAATAATAATAGTAATAATAATAATAATAATAATAATAATAATAATAATAAATTTACATTTCAACAAATGAATAATTCAACATACATATATTTCGTTCCAACCGAAAAAAACAACAACAAATAATAATAATAATAATAATTAATTCATTTACGACAGCACCGCGACGCCGCGAAAAGAGTTTAATTAAATAAGTCAACGAATGAGGTCAAAAATGAAATAATAATAATAATAATAAATTTCGGCAAACGAAAAAAAAAAAAAATTTTTTTTTTATGATACCGAGAAAGAGTCAAAACTTAACTATTATTATTATTATTATTATGTTTAAATAAAATGAATTAAAAATTCTAACGGTCGGATCGTGAACAAACAAACAAATAATTGAATTTTTTTTTTTTTTTCATAAATAAAATTCTTTCGAATTATTTATTATTATTATTATTATTATTATTATTATTATTATTATTATTATTATTATTATTTATTAATATACCCGGCATTTTTTTTTTAATGAAGATGAAATCGTCACGTTTAATGACAAGAAAAAAAAAAATTTTCTTTTTATGTAATGCGCGCGACATCAATTTACTGTTTGATAATAATAAAACTCAATGTCAAAACTCACCTCATCATCATCATCATAAAAAAGGAAAAACGAGTTTTTTTTTTTTGAAATGACACAACAAACGACATACAAACAAGGCACGGAAAGAACAAACCGACCGACAAACGTAAGTTTTACTAATAATAAAAAATTAAAAAACAATTAACGAGCCTAATCATTATTACAGCAGCAGCAGCAGCAGCAGCAGTACTTTCGTGTTTACTTATCCAAAACATTTTTTTTTTCTTGCAACATCATCAACATTCCAAAATAGCAAAACCAGAAGACTCGCGCCTAAAACAAAAATGAACCTACGAAAAAATACAAAATCCATTTAATAAACTTTTTTTTTTTTTTTTCTCCAGCTCCAGTCAATTATTACGGTACCCACGACATTAACGCCAAAATGTCTTTTCCTAAAAGTAATTTATAATTGCTCTCATTTTACTCATGAAAATTTTGTGAATCAAAATCTGACAAAGACATTTTCTTCTCTCAAGTTTAAAAAACGAATCTACTCCCTGTTGTAAGAACAAAAAAAAAACAAAAAGAAAAGGGATTCCCTTTCGTCGAAGGGTCATAGCAACTACTACTACTACAACAGGAGAGGGTAAATAATTTCCTGCAGGGCTCCCTCTCAATATGACTCATCATTCTAACCCTTACTAGATTTTAACAAAAGAAAGATTCGATCGTCACTATTTCTTCGACTGAAATCAATTCTAACAACAACAACAACAACAAAACATAAACAATCTCATTTTGGTATATTAATTTAAAACCTAACTACTACTACTAAACGATTCCTCCCCCACCCCCCCTTCCCCTCCCGCCTTAATAAAATCGATTCGAATAAAAAATTTGAGGAGTTACGTGGAAACAAAAATAACACAAGTTTTAGTTTTCAATAAAACAATGAATGTTTTTCCCTTTCTTAATGTTTTGAAACAGTAAAAAAAATTTTGCTTTTTGTTTGTTGTTGTTGTTGTTGTTGTTGTCATTAAAAATGTCATTCACCTTAAATTTTCTCTTTAACCGTAAAAAAATGTTTTAGTACTCGCTAAAAAATATCACACATCGTATAAAAATTTATATGTTTCGAATACAACGCTCACCGCAATCTTATTATTATTATTATTATTATTTTTAATAAATAAACGCGCGTTTCTTAAATCAAAAAAAAAAAAAACTTACTTTGCGTTTTTAGGGAAAAATCCCTCGTGAGGGCACGTATGGTGACACTCATAATCAGAATTTGTTAGGCAGTGATCCATTGGGTGCCTATTGAGTGAAGTACGAGATCCGTAGCCATCTGGATTGAGCTAAAAAAAAAAAAAAAAAAAAATTAGAATCATCATTATCATTATTATTATTATTGTAAATACCATTCCCGTAATTCTTTGAACGAATTATTAAATTGCGTCGTTCGGGTTAATAACCTTTAAAAGTAGAGGGTCATCATCACGAAGAGAAAAAAGGTAAGTAAAGTAACCTATATTAATACCTTGACAACAGTTCCCACAGGTACGTCTCTTATATCCCGGTGTGAATCCATCAATTCTCTCGTCAATTCTCTTTCTTGCTGAGTGGGAACTATCAGGGGCTGATCCGCCCCTCTATCTTGCAACAACCTTTCCTTCATCTCATAGAGGTAAGGGCACCGTTGCATGATTAAGCCACTTCCTGTAACAAACAACAATTTATTTAACAAACGAGTACTATTACGATAACAATCGAATTAATTAATCTTTTTTTTTTTTTTTTTTCGAATATAACGTTACAAACTGACTGTCAATATTTCAATGATTTAATCAGTGGAATTCAAAGGGGGGGGGGGAAAAAACCCACAAATGGATGGTACCGATGGGTACTTTTAAACGATTATTCGTTATCGAACATATTTCGTTCCGCCAAACGCAAAAAAAATTACAAATAAAATTATTATTATTATTATTCGAAATTTTCATTTGTTTAACACGGGTTATCATCTAACACGGGGAGGGGGGGGCAGGAACTCGTATTAAGGTACCGCGGAGAATGACTTCCTTTTCTATATTAACAAACAAAAAAAATATGTAAATACGATTTTTAAATTACCATAACTATACTCATTATTATTATTATTCTTTCTTTTTATGTCACTTTATTTTTATTTTTATTGAAATAAATGGAATGTGGCGCACACTAACATACTAAAAATTTATTATTATTATTATTATTCTAATTACTGTTTATTTTATATTATGAATCCCTGCCAAAAAATACTTAAAACTCCAGTTGCGTGTTTGTGTGTGCGTGTATTTGAATGAATTACAAACAACAACAACAACAACAACAACAAACGTAGTATGTAATGAATGATGTTAAACCGAAAACTTTTTTTATTTAAAAACAACCAATCACATTTTCTTTCTTTCTTTCTTTTATCACAATTTTATTACGGTAATTATTAATTATTAATCCGTTCTATGGAGAACACTTACATAACACTGAAAAAAAATAAATAAATAAATTGGGGGGGCCTAATAATAATAATAATAATAATAATAAATTTTCGTGTCGCTGTTATCGTAACTTATTGTTTTAACAAATAAATAAATAAAAACAAAAAGTTCAGCATATAAATATTATCGTCTGCTTTTTTTTTTGTTAGTGATAATAAAACTTTTGTAATAATAATGATTTCTGTTGTTACGTTTTCATAAAGTAAACAATCGAGTTTTTTTTGCAAACAAACGAATCGTTTAAATTTTACATACATTTTATTTAACGAATCGATACAAAATATGTTTAAATGGTCCCCAAAATGGGTCCCCCCTCCATTAAAAAAAAAAAAGATTGTTTTTGATTGTAAAACAATCAGGTTTGTAGTATACCCACCGTGAACTAAGATAGGAAAACAAATATGGCAACGCTACGATGTTTTTAAATCCGATTTTTTCGGGGGGTTGTTTAAAAAAAAAAAAAAAAAAAAAAAATATGGACGCTCCGTTTTATATCCCAATTGCTACATTATAATCACCACAAAACACACACACACACTCTGTTGCTTTTTTTTTTTTTATAAAAAAAAAAAAAATTATCTTTCTATCGCGTTACAAAAACGAATTTTCTACGAATGGAGAAAGAAAATAAATATACAAAAAAAAAACCCTTGGAGGATCTCCCAGCTTTCGATTCGTTTCTCATTTGTTTAGCTTATTAGAACGATTCGGAAAATCCATGGGGGAAAAAAAAAATGGCGGAAATAAACGAAAACTATCGAAGTTTCTTTCCACGTTTAAATTCGAAGATGCACGAATTTAACATGTCTTCTTCCTGTCGTTTTGTCAAAAACCATCGATTTTCTTTCCGACAGCATCATCCCGTTCGATTTTTCGCGTTTAATTAAGTTAATATTTAATTTTAATCATTTTTTTTTTTTTTTTTTTATTAAAAGCTCGATGGGAAAATTCAAAAATGGATGGATGGTTAAAAAATAATAATCACGAGTGAATACGGAAATCGATTTGTGTACAGTTTACCAAAATAAAGTGTCATTAGAATGAAATCATTTTTCAAAATAAAAAACTAAATCTATTCGTGTTTTATTATTATTATTATTATTTGGCAATAATTATTTTATTTAAAACTTTTCCGCTCGATTTAAAAATAGCCTAAATATTAATTAAAAATAGGTTGCAGAAAGCAACTGATCCTGAATATTTTCAAGTAAAGTAGGTTGCAGGTAAAGCAACTGATCCTAAATATTTTCTAGTAAAGTAGGTTGCAGAAAGCAACTGATCCTAAATATTTTCTAGTAAAGTAGGTTGCAGAAAGCGACTGATCCTAAATATTAATTAAAAGAAGGTTGCAGAAAGCAACTGATCCTAAATATTTTCTAGTAAAGTAGGTTGCAGAAAGCAACTGATCCTAAATATTTTCAAGTAAAGTAGGTTGCAGAAAGCAACTGATCCTAAATATTGTCTTAATTTCCCAAAATTAAACGGGATGTAAAGTAGGTTGTTCAAAAACAACTGATCCTAAATATTTCCCACAATCAAATGGGACATTTGAAAGATCCCATCTCACCCAAAAGGATTCCTTGAAAAATTAAATAAATAAAAAAGTAAAACAAGTGGACGAATTTATATCCTTCGCTAAATCTTCTTGTAACTCTTACGTCCACTCCTCCTTGGGATAGTATCTTAATAAATCTTTAACTGGTGATAAAAACCTTTAAT